CTTTGCCTCGCCCGCAGGCCTCCCTGGAGCATCCCCTAACAGTGCCGGATTAGGGATTACAGAGCGGCGGGCCACAGGGGTTGCTCAAGTCGCCCTGGAGGCTGGTTTCTCAAAGGCTCTCCTGTGGGGTGCCAGGCGAGGTGCTTTCTAGGCTGCAGCTCGGACCCAGATGCGTTGTCTGTAGAGTATCACAGAACATAGCCCTGCCAGAGGGATCCTGGCGTAGCTCGGGAATGGAGGAAATTCCAAAGGCCGCTCTGTGAGCCAAGGCAGGGGGAGGGAGGCGGGGGCGGCGCTGCGGGAAGATGGGGAGAGGGGCGAGAGGCAGTCCCCGCTGGCGTCCTGGGGTCCGCCGGCCTCCCCCTTGCGTGTCCGGGTGCCTCCCCTTCTCCCGGGAGCTCAGCCCTTCCCTGGGCTGCGGGACGCACACCCGCACCCCCTTTGGCAGCGGGCAGCGCCGGCCCCGCCTCGGCAGGGGCTCCAGAGACCGTCTCGCGGCGCTCTACGCTGCTTGGCCCTTGGCCCGTTGGCGCGGCGCCCACGGGGCGGGTCCAGCCCTGGCTGGGTCTTAGGCGGCGTCCACAGCCCCGCTGGCCTGCCTGCGCCCCTCTCCCGTGCGCAGTCCTTCAGCGCAGCAGCTCGACGCGAGCCTCTGGCTGTCCTGCCCACCTCCCACCGCCATGGCCGCCTCCTCCGTGCGGCCCGCCCTCCTGGCCCTGACCGGGCTTGCACTGCTCATGCCGCTGTGCCTGGGCCCGGGTGAGTGGGGCGATGCGGGCAGGAAGGGTCCTGCGGGAGAGTGGGATTGGTCAGGACAGTGTTGCCAGAGTGCCCAGAAGGGCAGGTCGGAGCTGGGGGTGGGGCGTGGGGACCCATGTTTAGCCTAGGTAGGGCCAGGGAGACAAGGAATCAGGGCTGTGTTGTCTTTGCACTGTACCAGCGCCAAGCGGTGCACTAGGGCAGGGGGAGAGTACCAGGGTCCAGGGGAGGGACGCAGACCTGTGGGGTGATCTCAAGCAAAGAGGCCAGGGGTCCAAGGTGGGACCTCAGGTGGGAAGCAAGGGGGAGCAGGGGCTTATAGCCAGTCGGTCCCCTCTGGCACCATCACCTAGATTCCCTGCTGGTTGGTTGCTGGGCAACAGACTTGGCTTCCCCTTCCCAAAGGGTCAAGTTCCAGGCCCCAGACCAGTGGCCAGCCTCACACCTAAGAAAGGAGAGTGCTCTTAAAGGGACATGCCTGAGCTTGCTGCTTCCTGCAGCTTCTAGCACAGGGGCCGAAACCCCCAAGCATACCGCCTTCGTTCTCCGTGTAAAGTGCGCTCTCACGCCCAGGATGAAGCCGTTTGCTTGGCTGCTGTGTTGGGGGGCAGGGGTCTTACAGCAGACTCCCTTGGATGGGGATGGGGATACTGAAAGGTCACGGGCCTAACCAGAGAGGGAGGATTATTGGGTTAAATGACAACCACGCGTTGTCAATAGCTGATCAATAATTTCCCATTGTGTGATTTACCTGTCCCACCTCTTCGTTTCTCCCTCTTTTTTCCCCTTAAGTTTTGCTATAGGATATGTGTGCTCTTGGAAGAGAGAAAGAGAGAAAGAGAGGTCACCCTCTCCCTGCCCAGGGGGAACAGTGAAGCCGCAATCCCTTCCCCAGTCTCTTCCCTGGGTTTTGGGCGTGCACACATGCTCAGTGTGATTTTCAGGTTGCCAGGTCCAGGACTTGACCCATGAAACCAGACATGTGGGACCCAGCCACCTTCACCCTTATGCCACCTGCTAGCCCCCACTCCTCGCGTTTTAAGAAGCACACCCAAGGGGCCAGCAGTTAGCGTAATGGCTATGTCGCTGGACTCCCACGTAGTTGACCGCGGTGCAAGTCCTGGACCCAGTGGCTTAAACTCACGCCAGGCTCGTGTGCGTGCGTGCCCAAGATCCCGAGATGAGAATGGAGGAGAAGGGATTGCGGCGTGACCATCCCCCCTGGGGGGTGATTTCTCGCTTTCTGTCTCTCTGTCTCTCTCTGTCTGGCGATCGCATGTGCCCTATGGCAAAAAAACCTCTCCAAAAAAAAAATAAAAAAGAAGCACACCAAACAAGCCCAGTGAGCACTGGCTGGATGCTGATTGATTTCAGGCCTCGTGTTTTGTTTATCTCATACTAAGAACGTAGTGACAAGAGTCAGTTAAGAGTCACGTGAGGCACCACGTGAAAGTTCTTAGGCCATAAAATAAAAATCCACACGCCCGGTTCCGAAGGTGGCCTCTCTGCTACCACAACCATCCCCCGTGGCTCGCGGCCCCTTCTCGATCGATCATCGTATGCCTAGTTAGCACCTCAGGGGGGCAGTTTGCCAGGAGATCTAATGAAGGTAATAGGGTCTGATCCATTTGGGAGTGCTCATTATTGCTGCCTAGAAATCATAACTGATGATGTTGGAGGGAAAATAATCCACACTACATTAAAAACCATCCCAGGACCAACCGTTGGCGTAATGGCTATGTCGCTGGACTCCCATGTAGTCAACTGCGGTTTGTGTCCCGGACTCGGTGGCTTAAACTCACACCAGGCGTGTGTGTGTGTGCGTGCCCAAGATCCCGAGAGGAGAATGGAGGAGAAGGGATTGTGGTGTGGC